TAAATCAGTTAAATGACGAAAAATTAGGTGTCTATTTACTTGTGACCACTCAGTGTATATACTGATATGCTTAGTTCTTTGTTGGCCCTGGAATCACTTAATATGGGTTCTCACCCAGTAGAGTTTGATATTAAGAAACAACTGGCTCTCTTCTCTTTATTATCTATATCTATTAAGTTTTTATTAATTCTTGTCCATGTTGATATTCATGGGAACGAGCTTGTTGACACCACAGCTAAATCCGTCTGCTCTGACGTTGTCACAGCTCTGTCCGTTCTGTGGACTACAAACCTGTCATCAAGGTTCGGCTTCACGCTAGTTGGCAGTCGATTTGGGATGACCAAAATAATAACAAGCTTTTCCAGATCAAGACTGTTATTATTGTTTGGCCGGTTAGTTTTCGTATGGTTCGAAGAGAGAAAGTTGTCTTGTCCCGCGATCGCCATAGTTTCATCACTCCTTATTTTCTTTTACAATGGAATGAACCGCCAATGTGCCCATATTTTGCTTTTGTGTCGCTGTTATGATTGCAAGTGGCGACGCTATTTTAGGTGTGTTTTTTCTGAGGGTTTACTCCTGATATTGGATAGTGTAATTGGCAGTACTGACACTGTTCAGATCGATCATGTTTCTAGTTTTTTGCGATCCATCGGCTTTTTCAATTATATATATATAATTTTTAAACCTTTTTTTCAAATCAAAACTTGGCACATTTCTTTCTATTATATTTCTATACAGTTTTTCTTATTTTCATTTTTGAGTACCTTTTTTGTCTTCATTACTAGACTGTTTGGTGCAGATACCCTTGGTGTTTTGTGCCAAGGGTATACCCAAACAACATAACCTAAAAATAGGTTGAAAAAATCAAACTTGTGGAAAGTCCCACCAATTCATAACCTAGTGAGTTCGAATGTTCTGTCTGTAGGAAAATCTTGGTAAATCTAAACCTTATCACAGATAACTATGTATAAATACACTTCAGTATTCTTATGAAACCTAGACACTAACTGTAAAAATGCTAGGTTTTTTAAGTTGCTTTGAGAATTACGGATGTGCACCAAACATCGATTTGTGTTTTTTTTTCGTAAGATCGACTAGCTGTGCAGAGAAATGTCATTCATCGGAAATGATCGGTTTTATCTTTCATTTCTTGATCTTTTTTTATTGGTCGGTATTTTAGTCCAACTTTCCTATCTCTTACATTAAACTTTTAAACATGTTTACATGTATGTTTAAAATGCTACATTGAGCTTAACAATATATTTTGAAGATAATTTTAATGAAATTAACTTTTTCATCCTATGCATAGAGAAGGGGGGGGGAGACAGACCGTGAAAGGGGAAACACACGTTATTCTGAATTTATTTCCAAGTTGTTCATTGGATGAAATTCTTACAGCTCTGTCCATTCACAATATTTCTACAATTTATTTCGTTTCTTCTCACCAATACACTCAGAGAAGTATTTAAAGTAGACTTCTTCACTTTAAATAACTCAGCACACTTACACTGCGAAGTATGTCAAATGAAAGAAGTCGTGAGGTGAAACGTTGAAGACACGAATTTCACGATGAAGTAGGAATTAACTCGGATATTTAACGATTTATTTATCAATAGTTTGAATGTACAAGAAACCACAGTTTGGTACTTGTTCAAAGTTAAAGAATGAAAACGTTACTTCAAAATGTCACCCTGTACATCAAGGTAATCTTTTTAATCTGTGACTGCGATAAAAATTCAGAGGACAAAACAGAAATAATGGATTATTTTCAGTTTATTCAGAAGTAAAACATAGTCGAATACATGAAGTAGAATATGAGAAGAAAAAACTATACTTTTAATAAAACCACGGATACTTTCCTGCCTGGTTCGCTGTAAATAAATGAAATACAATTAACTGTTAATTACTATTAATCTAAATATATCATCACTGGTCAAATCAGTAAACTGTCGTGATCGTTGAATTTTGAGAAAACAAAATTTATTTTAACACTGAAAAATAAGTTTCTCAAATAACTAGATCTTTAAAACAATGTATTAAGTTAAATATTATTTAAGTTTACCTTCAGTCAAAACTTAACTAATAATCTAACATTTTGTATAAAGAACATCATAATGGATGATGTTCACTTTCTTCGAACGCATTTAGCAAAGTCCATACATTTTATTACATAATTCTCTCAGCGCACAAATATTTTTTCTACCTCAAGTAGTTAGTTTGAAATACTATTTCATGGATTTATTTTTGACCAGACGTTTCATTTCTGTAACTATGTTACAAAATTATGTTTTTAATTAAACACAAAGCTACACAATGGGCTATCTGTGTTCTACCCACCACAGGTATCGAAACCCGAATCCTAGCGTTATAAGTCCGCAGACATACCGCTGTGCCACTGGGGGGGGGGGGGGCACAAAATTCTCTAACTAAACCTTATGAAATAATAAAGAATATTGTATCGCGTACACCATTAAAAAAAACTAAAAACTTAATATAACAGAAGTAGCTTGTTTCTACTCAGTAAGTAGTTCAACAAATCAAACATTTCTACTTACCCTTATTTAATAGAATCTTACCCACTTTAGAATAATTACGAAAACATTCCAACTACCTCAAGGTAATTTGGTTAAACATACTATCACGTAAGGTTACAATTTATGGGATTAAAAATAGGTTGAAAAAAACAGACGTGGGAAAAGTTCTAGCAGCCCATAGCTTATAAATTATATATTATTTAATTTGACCTCTGGTCGCAATTTCAAACTCAACTTGAAAATTAACTATTAATCTAACATTTTTTAGAAAGAACATCATATACTTCTAATTCTTAAAAAAAGGCATAGTAGAATACGGAAGTAGTTGTTAGTAATTTACTATATTTTCTGATTTTGAATTTATCTGTTATTTTGATTTTAATACAGACCTGCTTAACTCAAAACCCATGAACCGCCTGCTCTACCCTCTAGCCCAACGGTAAGAAACTAAACTACTGCTAAATACAAAGCTTGACGATTAGTGTGTATCAAACTTATAACTAATATATATATATTCAAATGACGCATTTTATATGTTATGTGTATTTCCTTCCTAACATACATTTGGAAATTAAACAGTGCGCGGAAAAGAGTTACGTAATAGAACATGGGGACTTTGTTAAAAAGTGTTTGAATAATATAAGCATATAAAGTTATAGAAATAATATTTCAAAATAGCTGTTTACGTACGTGTGTTCTATACATCTATTTACTATAGAGAGTTTGTTGTTGGCTATTAAGCGTAAAACTACACAATGGGCTATCTGCATTGTATACATTGCAAGGAACCGAACTCCGGATTTTAGTGTTATAAGCTCACTGCTGGACCTCCGTGGAACAGTTAAAGAGATGCAAAATCTATTGTTCAAAACGTAATACAATTAACAAATAAAGCTGGAAATATCAATTTGAAACTTAAGTGATCAAGCAGCTTAAAAAGAATTCGTGAGAGACAAAGAAAATTTTACTAGGCAGAAGAGTGAAAGGTAGAAAATGTGCTGTAGAACAAATGTGATACTATAAATATGAGATAAATTGTTGTTTCTAAATTATAGGTGCATTAGATACACACACACATATATATATTTCTTTTTTAAATCTAAAAAATATACCGTTTTATATTTTCAAATCGTAATCGAATAATGAATACAAAAGTCTTTGAGAAATTTCATGCTTTAACTAGAATATCAGATAAAATTCTTGAATCGTTACTATTAGCTCACTAATATTTGGGTATACACGCCTTTAAGGCTATTTAAGCATAACGTAGCAAGAGAGATATTAATAGTGTTATTTTTCTCTTGTGAAAATCTTACAGCATCTTAATTATCCAAAATTAGCACATATATAAAATAAATCCCTTTTTTTAAAGTTCACGATAATCTAGATTTATTCGATTTTTCGACTGGCCCCAAAAAATTATAAGCTTACCAGGAAAGTACTAAAGTTAACACCGCAGTTAAAGTTCCTTCTATTTATTCTGAGCCATTGGAATATTGAGAAAAATGGAAACTGGTTTTGGGTTGGAATCTGTGAAAAGAATAATACAAGAGAACGGCTAAAGTATTACAAACGTTTATTGGGTATACTTTATAAATATTTATCTTTAATTGAAACTGAACGAAAACATGGTTCATTGATCAAGTGTGAGTTTTAATTCAACTGTCTGTCGTTAGAATATGGTGTTTATTGTATCTACAAAGACAATAGATTTGTTCGATGTCCATTAAAGCTTCGAAGTTTTATTGCCAGTAAAATTTACATGATGTCTATTTTTTTTCGGCTCGTTCTTGAAGAATAAGTAAAAACAACAGGTTCACCGAATGTCTTTCAATTACACCGGTAATTTTTCATTATTGTTTTACGTTTAATGTAGAACGAATAAAAAATTAAACACTTACCAACTCGTTCTTCACACATGTAGTAAACTGAAATAAAAACAAAAAGAAAATATTGTTAGAAGGTATATATTCAAGTCTTTTCTGGAAAAAATGACCAGTGAAGTCTTAACCTTCAAATAAACCGACTCGATTTTATGCCGTTCATTACCAATGGGGTCCGAATATTACACCATATTCAGTAATCTTATTGTTTTGGCTGTTACAGCACTCAATGTAAAAACTTATAAAAAGAACTGAAGAAAACGAGAAAATTGAAATAGTGGAATTAAATGCCAATATCAATGTTATTTTTATTAACATTTTTCATATGTTATTATCGACATTGTAACCAAGTTACGGACCCACAAACAGTTGAGATCACATATAATGTAAAAAAATATGTTTGAAAAGATGATCGGAACCATATCGGTAATTCTAGGGTTAAAATATATGGAAATCATATGGGTCCATAGAAATGTTCCCAACTGACTTCTTTTATCAAACTTTGTTACAAGAAGATTTGAATTTAGAATGTTACCCACTGAAGTAAAATTCTAGTACCTTATAACAACACTATACAGACCTCGAACCTTTTATAACATGTTTTAACAAAACAGTAAAATAAATGTAGAGGCTCGCATTATTTAATGTTTTTTGGTTTAAGTGTCTCTATATAAAACATTATTTTGCCACTTGATGATACTATGAAGAATCGCATTTTGCCTTAAACGACACTATATAAAACATCATATTTTATTTTGATGACACTATAAAAACCTTACTTTACCGCTTGACGACACTATAAGGAGCCTTATTTTGACGGTTGATGACCCTAAAAAGATCTTATTTTGTCTTCATGTGTTAAATTTTGATACAAAACATCAGTGCCCTGATGAACGATTTATAAGCTACACTTAACACTTATCTATTAGAAGGTTTTAGGAAGTATGCTCAAATGACTCCAAGAGTGGTTGTGTGTTAATAAATGTGGCTTAAATATTGCAATACTAATGAACAATAAGTTATTCAATCCTGATTTCACTACGGCGAATGGAAAAATAATAAGTTACTTCTCTCCAGATTGTCACATTTGTATTAAATTTATACATTTTGTTGAACAAAGTTTATGTATTGCGATTTAGTTTCTCTATTGACTAGAAATTATGCAGGATTTAAACTACTTACTAACTCATATATAAGTGTTAAAACAAGTTGTATACAATGGCTTCACAACCATTTTTATCTCTATAAGACATAGTTCTGCCCGTATGTTGTTTGGTCTAGTGATAACCTTTCTACAATAGAGTTAAACTTCCAGTATTAACACTGATATTCTGTTAAAACGTGTATTGTGTTACACTAAACGACTTTTGTTGGTGTTTTTTTCTCTCTTTTTTTTCATTTATCAGAAACACTACTGATACGTTTCTTAGAGCCGGGTAGGTTAATAGAAATAGATAATAACGATTAACATAATTAATTTTGGGTGAAAGACCTTTTTTTTTCAAGATAAATGGTAGTAAACTATCATCAAGATCCTCTTTAATCAAATACAATTAGATCATAATGATCTTTAATTGAAATAGATAGGTTATTTATGCTTTCGTTGGAAAAAGTACTTAAAGTTAGTATACTAGTACTGTACTAAATGCAGTTTGTTTTTCCTATCAATCACACTTCATCTGTTTCTTCACATTGACTTTGCAGTGGTGTTTTCAAAAGATCAGGCTTCTACAAAAAAAAAACAGACGTGTCAATGTTTCCTTCCTTCGCAATGCGTAATTTTCCATAAATCAGCTAACGTCTGAGGTGTATGACTTTTAAAACCATGTTTGAGAATACCGAAGACATAAACAACCATTGAAATTGTGTCGAGGACTTGATGGGTATGTGATCGAATGATATTTCTATTTCTTTGATCATTGTCGTGTATTTCGCCAACATTAGATTCTTGCTTTTTCTTGTTTTTGTTTTCTGTTGTCGTTGATAACAGGATATATTCCCAGCTTTATCAAAAGAACTTTTTTGATCGGAGAGCTCTTTTTCGTAACAATAGTCCAGTTTCACCTTACAGATGAAGGATTTTGGTCCTGACTGACTTGGGATGTGGTTTTGACCCCATTGCTGTTTTACATTTTCTACTTAACGAGTTTTCCACTTCTATGGAAAACATTGAGATTTTAATTTTTCAAATTTTGCATAGTTTGACTTTCGTAGTTTAACAATTTCCCTGTATGTATATATCTCTCTTCGAAAACAGTGGTCAATATCCCACCAGTCAATGGTCAGCGTAGTTTGCTTTTAGATGCTTTTATCACATTGTGTAAGTTCTAGTGCTGACCAGATATTTGCTGGGAAACATTAGCTAATTTACATCTGTAAATGACCTTCTGTATTTCTTTAAAATATCTAAATCACCAAAAGAAAGATTCAAGATTATTTTAGGTAAAAAATTAAAATGACTTTGCAATTTTTTGACAACTGTATTCAGATGTTATTTGGTAAATATAAAACACTGAGTCACCTCTACTCTGGCGGTTGCATTAGTACAAAGTTGGTTCAGAAACTCCAGATCGGTTAGGCCCGGTGCGGTTTGGTTCTGGCACAGTTGTTTGGCGTTCCTCTAACATTAAGTAAAACAGTGACGTTAAAACTTATAAAAACACGCTTTCATTAAAAAACGTAAAGCAACTCTAAATAAATATATATATATATAACAAACGATGTGGTAGTTTGTGGTTTCTGTTCATCAATAGACCTTACATAGTTTGTCAAAACCACATCTTTATCATAAACTTTAACTTAACTGTAAATATAAATTATTTCATAAATAATGTGCCCGTTCGAGCTTATTAGTGTTTATGTTCGTACACGTGCTTTTGGATAATTTGCCTACTGGTGATAAGTTTGTTTGATAAATCAGTTTCTAATATTTTACTTTTATTTACCTTTAAAACGTAATATTTTATTTTGGAAGGGTTTGTTGGTGTTGTTGTTAAGCACTAAGCTACATATTGGATTATCTATCTTATGCCCATCGCGAGTATCGGAACTCGATATTTAGCCCTCGGGCGTACCACTGAGACATCAGGGGGCCGTAAGAGTTTTTAACTAAAAATTTCTATGCAAATCTATTTAGATAGATTGGTAAATAATAGATCTAATAAACGGCACTTATTGTGTTCTACAAAACGTTATCTTAGTTAGGTCCTGATTGTAAATGTTTTATCCATACTAGCAATTATTCAAAGATACAAAAAAAAGTTATAGCAAAATTAATAGCATGTATTTACTTATCACATCACTTCATAAAACGAATTCTTGTCTTGAAGATCTGGACCATGCCTAAGAGTTCCTGAAAACTTCATAGCGATCAGAGTTCAAGAAATATGTACTGAGGAAGTAGTAATGGGGGGAAATTAAAATGACTGTAAAACTCGCCAAAGTGAGAAAATGAATACAGGAAGAATTTCCCTTGGACCATAACCAAAAACTCGTGAAAATTTCATAATAATCAGAGGTTGAAAAGCTAGAAAATTTTCGTTATGGACAGACAAACATAATATAGATTACAATATCATTCTACTCACCACATCTTCGGATTTTGCGTTCAGAACACACTCATATCGTGCCACTCTTGTTCCATTATTGACATTCTCATCTGAAACATGAACATTCCTAAAGTAGGCATTATCAGCAAACCATTACGTATTAACAGTTGTTTCAAAATAATACATGTTGAACACAACACAAGAAAACAATTATATAACATAGATATACCATGTTAACATCGTTAAGAATTTTCTATTTAATTATATGCTTCTATTTCTGTTTTCGTAACATTCTGAAATGAGTATATCAATTATACCACGAGTTCTTCTATGATATATTTTAAACAATACTGTAATATTATCAAAGAAAGGACCAATATTAATCCAGTCATTATTATCAATAACCTAAAAATTCTAATCTGGCCGAATCTCGTGAGACATTATTGGAATTACGACCGAAAATAACGATTATAATACGTATGCCCAGCTGATGAACCAATGATTTCCAATTATTATAAGTTTTTGTTTTATAACGTAGCATACTGCTAGTTAGACCGGTATATTTATTTAGCTGAATTATTTACAAGATCATTTTTAGTCCTGGTAAACGTGACAGTCCGTTCAATTTTTACATGTTATATACGGTTTTGATTTTCTTTTCATATTGTAAAGATGAAATTGTTTGTTTGTAGTTATGCACAAAGCTATACAATGGGCTATCTGTGCTCTGCCCACCACGGGTATGGAAACCCGGTTTCTAGCGAAGTAAGTCCGCAGACATACCACTGGGGGGCAATTTCACACGTGAATTGAATTGCTGGTTCTTTACTATTTAATTAACTAAAAAATTTGTAGTTTGTTGTTGCCATGTCTCCACACCACGAATGTGCCATCTACATATCTTATCCAAATTTCTGGTTTAAATGTAGCGTTATTTATAGCTTCATTTTCAAAACTATCCATATGAAGGTCACATAACAACAGTGACAAGGGGATACCATAGATAAACCTTCTCTCTGTTTATAATAATTTTTATTAGTTTTTATTTGTTGTTATGTTTATAAATATGGTACATGATGTTCTATGGATGGGTGATTTATTTTACTAGCGTATTTTTATTATTTGGGTTTCTTCCTTTTTCATCTAATAAATCTATCTAGAGTTAGTAATCATGAAGGTTAAAAGCTTTTCTATCCAAAATAAGAAATAAAGAGTAACGTACTAAGACAGAGGGCGTCGATGTTCAATTTAAAAGTGAAATTTCGTATAAGACACTGTTCAGGAAGCCTTTTTTTTCAGTAACGTAAATCGTTACCTACATAATCGATAAATAACAATTCAAATAAACTTTTACCTTTCATTGTCCACCCTAGCTGTTGAAATATAGAACTGAAAATAATACCTTGTGTGTTTATTTGTTGGATTCCGTGCAAAGCTATCCAAAGGCTATTTGTGCTAGTCGTCCCTAATGTTGAAGTGATAGACTAGAAGGAAGGTAACTAGTTAAGAAAAACCCACTGACAACTCTTGTTATTCTTGTCACACTGAATAGTGAGATTTGACATTCACTCTTATAACGCACCCACTGTCAAAAGTGAGATTTTGTTATAATTTGAAGTGGTACTAACAGGACGAGAAACACAATACCTCAGAGATATATTACAACATGCTAAAAACAGGGCCGCTCTCGACACAGTGGCGTATTTAACGTCGGTGAAATCGGGGAATCCTCATATTGCGGGTAGCCAAAGTAATGCAAAAAAAACATGAATTTCTATACCTATAGTTGATCAGTACGTACGAGCCCCCTAATAAATTTGCACCGAGTACTTTGAAGTGTTAAAAAACGCTTCTGGGGCTCGAACCATAAATGGTTTTCTCGTCAGTGACTTGTAGAAAACAAAAGAATTTGAAAAGTTATTTTAACACACTCTCCTTTGACTTAAAATCTGTGATGGATGAATTAAGAGAAATGTCGGGAGGGGGGGGCTAAATTTTATTTTATCTTTATTGCTAGACCTGAAGATTTCATTTACCTCACAATTTTTAATGTATACTTAAATTACATACCTTCAGGGAAATGTTATTTGGTGTATTTTATTAATGTAATTAATTTTACATATCTTATAAGACAAAACAAACCTAAGCAAATTTCTATCACAATCACTTAATAAAAGAATATTTGTATTGAGGATTTTATCTTAATAGATCTATAGATATTACTTAACCCTCTGGTAAACGTACTAGGTATTTTTTGTTTTTAATTTAACAAAAAATATTTTCTCCAAACCCTAACTTTAGACAAACGATGATAAAACTCCAAGTAACGAGCGCTTTTGAAGAGTGGTCTCTTTTTCGTCGGGATTCAAAAGTGCAGTTTCTAACGCTGCATTTAATTGATTCAAGATAAAATATTAATAACAATAAAAACAAAAAAGTAGATAAAATCAACTTACTGCAGATGAGGGCGTTAAATAACTGTTGCTCCAAAACAAGGTTCCATCCAAGAAATCCACTGCTCCCATGACAGCAGACCAGAAAAATAAAAGCAAAGAGCAGGAATTTGTTGTCCATCTTGTTTGTGCTTTGTTGATTATTGAATTCTATCACCCGTTACATATATATATAGTTCTGGCTAAAGAAAGAAACGGAAATTTCATCACATACTACATTGAGGTATTTCCCTTTAGGGTTTGACAGGCATTATTCTCAGGATGTACGTTATGTAGCATAAAATACAATACATGTTTAAAACAACAATAATTCTATTTCAAACATGCCTCACTCAGAGGAAACCAGGATAAATTATATGATTATTGATAACTTGATTTGTTTGTTTGAAGTTAAGCACAAAGCTACACATTGGGCTATCTGTGCTCTGCCCACCACGGGTATCGAAACCCGGATTCTAGCGTTGTAAGTCCGCAGACATACCACTGTGCTACTGGGGGGCATATTGATAACTTCCGTAAAGTGTAATATCCATAAAAAAAACCTTCGCCTTCATAATGCCGCCCCCAGTGGCACAGCGGTATGTCTACGGACTTACAACGCTAGAAACCGGGTTTCGATACCCGTGATGGGCAGAGCATAGATAGCCCATTATGTAGCTTTGTGCTTAATTACAAACAACTTTCATAATGAAAAAAATTCAAAATGCACCAACATAAATATGCATTTATTGTTCAAAACTCTTAAATACTCACTATCACACAGTTGGCAGTCTTTAGTATTTAATATCGTAATCGTTATAACATAAAATGGGATATATTTGTAATAAGATGTCACTGTCATCACGTACAACACGACATACTTGTGATACGATACTCTATAATGACACTGTAATCACATAAGATACGAAACGTTCATGACATATTGATGCCACATCCATTAAATATAACAAGACATTTTTATAATATATAGTAAGTAGACGTCGTAATCGTTATAACATAAAATTGGACATATTCGTGATAGAGTGTAATAAAATCTTACAATTGTTAATCAGTCATAAAAATAACATTTTGTTACTATATGCGATAGGCGTAACTTAAAACAAGACTTATTTGTGAAAATTTTCAACAAGTTATTATGATTATTACATAGAACAAGTCAGAGCATTATAAATATGTTTGAACTAACCTAATTTTTGTATGTTTGATGTTAAGCACAAAGCTACACACTGGGCTATCTGTGCTATGCTCACTACGAGTATTGAAACTCGGTTTTTAGTGGTGTGGCCCCTCAGACGTACTGCCGAGCTCCTGGGGAGCACAAACCTAATTCAATATATAAATATCGAAACCATATTTACTTCTCTTCATACTCTTAAGTTTACCAGAGTGTTACCATCAATCGTCCGCATTACTTGAATGCTTGAGTTCAAATATATATATATTAACATAATCTTTTTTTTTTACTGATGATTGAATGGATATTTTAATTTCGACACACTTATCACGCGATAATAGTGTTCGCATAAAATGGGATATATTTGTAATTTATTGTAATAAGATGTCACTGTCATCACGTACAATACGACATACTTGTGATACGATACTCTATAATGACACTGTAATCACATAAGATACGAAATGTTCATGACATATTGATGCCACATCCATTAAATATAACAAGACATTTTTATAATATATAGCAAGTAGACCTGAAGTTTCAGTAATCGTATAGTTCAGTTTCACAAGGAATAATGATGTGAGCGTTCGTTATTTACTATTTAATTAATTAAAGAGTCACGTGATCTTTTTTACTCGTTTAAACTGCTATGTACGCCGGTTGATGCATTAAATATGGGTTTTTCTTACTAAAACTGTCACTAATAAACGGCAACACTTCAACCAGTTAGTTGAACATGTCCAGGCTTTAGCAATAGAACATCATACAAGAATACTTCAGCTGCGAAAAACAACAACAAAAAGAAGATTATGATTCTATGAAACTGTTAACTGGTGTAATCCATTTTTTTCTTAAAATAATCTTCAAGAGTCTTGAGAAGGCAATAAAGATCAATTAGAATTTAAAAGGGTATCAGTAACTTCACGACAGACATCTTAAGTTTTTTTGGCTTAGAGCAAAACTATCTAAGTGATTGAATTAGATAAAGTGTTTAAAGCTCAAATACCAAAAACAATTCATAACAAAAACGTTCAGCCATATGTAAGTTGCATAATTTTAGTTTGTATAAACTGTTCTTGTGAAAACAAAGCTTTTAGAATATTTCTAAAGCTATTTACTGTACATGTCATTATTTATTGTATTCACGTGTAGAAAAAACATAATATATTCATGATTCATTTATGATATTGAGTTCAAATTCCAACTTAACGAAACGTTTCAACTCATATTTCCACAGTAAACAGTAAAACGTTTTAAAACTGAATGCCACAATGTTGATACTTATTTGTACATTTCCTAGTATTTGTTAATCGGTATCCGGTTTGTTCTTTTGGGACAGTCAGTCTTTAAAACCCTATAGCACTTCTGTTTATTGCATCACAACTATACAAACGTCTACTAAACGACGCCAATAACACAAGCATGCGAATTTAAACTTCATCATCATTTCTATTGACATCAGCTTCAGAATCAGATGAAACTGTATCATGAGTCTCCAGTGGAGTAGGTAGAAGTACATCAGGTCCATGAGCAACAGGTCTTATAGCAGATTGAAGGTTCCGATAAAACGTTTACTTTTTATTTCGAGTGTTGTAGACTTGCACGTTACATGAGAAAAGTTGCTAGGCTCACGCCAGACCATTGGAATTCCAAAAAGCAAATACTTTTTCTTACCTTCATTCCATTGTCTCAACTCTTCGACACAAACTTTGTGCGGAGACCATGATTTGTCTTTGCCCCCAAGTTTCATTCCAAAAGACAGGTAACACGCTTTTTTGACGAATTATGTAATGTTTTGCCTTTGTTTCTTTACAACAAATTTACGAAAAATATAACAGAATATGTTTGGATCATTTACACAACCTCTTGTTGCCATAGCCACGAATAAATAATACTATCCAGAAGTGACAAGCAATGCGGCCTGTTAACTGTTTATATATTAGCGATGTGTTTCTCGTGGGTACTAGAATGATCGATAAGACTCTCACGTCGCGATTGGTCTAGAGAAATCTATGGCCAGTGGTTGTTAACATTTTAAGCAAAACAAAAAGTGACTTGATTTCAATAAAAATGGTTCACTTATGTAAAAGTACGTATGAGGTTTTGTGAAAAATCTGTACGTGATGGAAAATGGACACCATTTTCGGATTCAGCGTTCAGGAATTACTGTAAAACATGTAAAAATTTCAAGACAATAAAACCATCGCAGGCCTGTGTAACAGTACTGGTACATACTCTCCACACAACATTATTCAAATCAACTGCAACGAAATCAGAAATGAACTTCTTGAGCTGAACATATTCACATAAGAAATACACTTTAATATTCATTAAATATTTCATTTTTAATTTGTACAGTTTTGTTTAAAGTACTCAGAACACAAACATTATTGCTCCTAACGAAGTGTCTGTCCCCCCCCCCCCCTCTCCCTTTGATGGCTCAACGGCAATTCGTAAGATTTAAAGGTGCGACTAATGATACATGTGATGAGTATAGACACTGTAGGCTTACTGTTTTGTGTTCTGGGCTTTAGTTAAAGATGTCTCCTGATACATGTGATGAGCTTAGATTATGTAGACTTACTATTCCGTGCTCTGTACTTCATTTAAGAGCGTCTTGTGATAAATATGATGAGTTTAGACAGTGTAAACGTACTGTTTTGTGCTCTTGTTCTGTAATTTAGTTAAAGGAGAGTTTCGTTATACATATAATGAGGTCAGATTGTGTAAGCTTACTGTTTTCTGTTCTCCACTTTAGTTAAATAAGGGTTTTGTGATACATAAGATGAGTTTAGACCGTGTAGGCTTATTGTTATATTTTCTATACTTTAGTTAGAAGAACGTCTCCTCATAAATATGATGAGTTTAGACAATGTAAGCTTACTGGTTGGGTTCTGTACTTTAAAAGTGTTTCGTGATACGTAAGATGAATTTAGACTTTGAAGGCTTACTGTTTCATGTTCTATACGTTAGTTAAAGGAACGTTTCGTGATACATTGTGATGAGTTCAGCTTTAATGTTTTGTGTTTTGCACTTTTGTTAAAGGAGCATCTTTTGATGCATGTGATGAGTTTAGAAAATGTATTCTTTTGTGTTCTGTACTTTATTAAAATAGCGGCTCGTGATACATGTGATCAGATTAGATTATGTAAGCTATGTTTTATCCTGTAGCGTCTCCTGATACATGTGATGAGATTAGATAGCACAGGCTAACTCTTTTCCGTTCTGTACTTTAGTTAAAGGAGGATCACATGTATCAGGAGACTTAGACCCAACTGGAGTAGTTTCCTTTTCACTGTGTATTTAAAATCTTGACTTCTGTAGGCTTCCATTTTCAAGGGGGTTGGAGCCTAAAATGAAGTGAGGGAAATTTAACAATCTACACAATCTAAACTGCTAAATACAAGTTTAAATAAAATTTCAAAACATTAAAACTAAATAAAATTTCTAAACCTTCTTTAAAAAGACACTATTCATTTGCCAAAGTGAACATGCGTGTTATGGTTTAAATAACAACAAAATATTTTCACTGTTGTCTCTCTCGTGAAAAGTAATTTAAAGTTATAACTATTACAACTAAACTGTGAAAATTCTGAATAACTCTAAAACTTGTCTTACAGGGGCAAAATGGCTTAAAATTAACAAAAAATACATAAACCAGCGGTGGCGCTATGCAAAGTAACTGTTTAGAGCTCAAAAATTTTGTTTTTCAACAGAACTTTGACTTTTGCCTGTTTTAGCATTTGAATCATTTTAAAAATATGTTTTCAGTGAAATCGATCCAAAGCACCACTAAATAATGGACATAGATTTAAAAATTACAGCAGCAAGACCTCAGTAATCATACGTGCAGCACACATGTACTGATTAGTTGCTAACTGCAGTACATGAACAGTGTACATGATTTGAGAAAAATAACAGCAAAGCCAAGTCAGTTTACAAGTAGAAATGACATTTAACAAGTGTTAGTGTGTGCTCTATTTATATAATATCTGGTTAGTGGAA